AGCATAAATCAGTGGTATTTGATGTTAATGTTAAGTGGAATTTATATTTCCGCTTACCATCGCCCACTTGACTTTATATGCTGACACACTCCCCTATCAACGAATGTTTACGTGCGTATGTACATGCTTCTGTTACCCAGTAATAACTGACTCACAGGATATAAGTCATATAATCTCAATTACGTCGACCAATATCAGTTTGGGTAGAGCGTAGCTATAATGTTTCAGCACGGCTGTGCAATTTGTATCAGTGTTTGTCTTGCGGAAGGCTGCCGGCTGTGATGAACTTTATTGTAAATTTGCCTGAAATGTGGTAGGGAAAGATTAAATTGTTTTAAATTTTGTAACTACTATTTTCGATTAACCAAATTGTATGTATGAGCGTGGCAGGAGTATCTTGTTTTGTTTCACGTGCTTGGGTAGGTGCTCAGGCGTGTGCCACCTCGTTATCCGCCAACAGCCAACCACGCTTTTACCTCACTCACTCACTATTTTCTCGCCAATAGCGACCCACACCTCGTTTCCCGCCAACAGCCAATCACGCTTTTACCTCACTCACTCACTATTTTTCTCGCCAATAGCGACCCACACCTCGTTTCCGCCAACAACCAACCACACTTTTACCTCACTCACTCTTCCCGTCAAGAGCAGCAGACACCTCGTTCCCGCCAACAACCGACCTCACCGCGTCCTCCACAACATTGTTAAAAGGGTATTTCTGTCATGGTTATAACTGTATTTGCGATAAGTTTTAACATATTTTAGCATATTGATTGAGACTTGCTGTATCACGGTTACTAGGTGAGGTTTAACGTCACTCAACGTCAATAACGAGTATGCCTCCCGTGAGCATCGATAACTGCTTGGCACCTCCTGCCCATTCTGTGTCCTGCTGAAAAACGTCCTTGACATTCACCATGATGGCTTGCATATGGGGCCTAAGAATCTTGTCAACGTATCGTTGAGCCGTAAGATTCCCTCGGATGTGCACAAGGTCTGTTCTGGCATTGTAGGCGATGGCAGTAGCCCACATCATGACACTACCACCACCACGTCTGTCAACTTCCTGCACACAGTTTGCTACAAAACGTTCACCTCGCCGACGGTAAACACTGGTCCTTCCATCCTGCCTACGAAGCATAAAACGTGATTCATCGCTGAACCAAACTTGCCTCCATCGTAGATGAGGCCATACCCGATGTGCCCGAGACCACTGCAGCCGTGCCTGCCGATGTTGCTGGGTGAGGATGACGCCTCTGGCCGGACGTCGAGGTTGGATTCCTGACATCTCGTAGACGGTTGCGTACGGTCTGATCGGAAATCCTACGCAGCCCTGGTATGGTTGAGGCAGTAGACGTCGCAATGGTGGTCCTATCCCGAAGGTGACGTAACCGGATGTAACGATCTTGTGCGGGCGTGGTCACACGAGGTCTGCCGGATCTGGGACGGTCACGAGTTGATCCATGTTGTTGGTGACGATTCCATAGCCTTGCGATGGTGCTTGTGTGGACATTCACAGCTCTGGCAACATCTGATCGAGCTTCACCTGCTTCCAAGCGACCAATGGCGTTGTTGCGTTGTGTTTCATTCAGTCTGGGCATGACTGTATTGCGTGTCGGTGGTTTAACACTAAGCTATGGAAACCGAAAACCGGTCACCTTTATAGGGATTTTGCTTATGTTGCACGTGCAGAACATGAAGATCTCTCAAACAAATTTATTGGACACGAATGCGTTTTGGCGAAAAAGTTAATGTTTTCGGTGGGCAACTTTTATTGTCGTTTTTTTCTAACAATCAGTGCCTCAACACGTGTAACATCATATACTGTGAGCTTGTAACGTTATTACATATATTTCTCTTTAAAATTTAAAAAAAAATACCCCTTTTGCGTTTCTTTTTTTAAAGAGTATATTATGAACCTATGACTTGTTTTAGTCACAATGTTGCTGAACTATAACCGATGAGACTAAATATTAATTAACTCGGGGGATATTGCGCGATATTACAACTTGATTGAAAATAGAAATATTACACATATTATTACTCCAAGTTATACCTTTATCTGCATTGCTACTACTGCCTTGTCGCCGCGCATGACTTGCCTCAAAATCAGATAAATTTGCTTCATTTCTGGATGTACGAAATGTGAAAAATAATGAAAAAAACCAATGATCATTTTTTAGCATACATCCAAGGACACTATCATTTTATAAACAACCTAAAGATGAAAATAATATACTTATTTTCTGACAAATTATAGCTTTTTAAGTGATACTGCTATTGCCTTGGCGCTTGACAGACTGTGTTTACAGCCCGGCTGACCTCGAAATAGTGAATGTCTGACTCATTTGATGAGTTAATGAGTGCAAAACCGCAAAACCTGGACGTAAAACCATCCTTGGCAACTTTGGAGTGCTTAGACGGGCGGTCTACAAACTTTATGAGAAGAAAAACATACATATTCTAAAGAAGCTACACCAGTGACTTCGTTAAATCTTTGGCCAATGTTCACAACTAGATTAAACTGACCGAATCACATCCATATGTTTTCAATGAAATATACTGTTGACATGCAAAACATTTATTAAAACGTTGCACATTTCTACAATCAATCGATAAAATAACACAAGTGATTGGACTCTTTCCAATGTACAGTAATTCGTATGTTCATTTCAAAACAAACACATACACAAATGATCCCTTACATAACCGATACGTATATGTACACAAGTTCAACATTTTGCAGAAAACATCTATTGAGATGACACCTCGCCCGAGCGTGTGCTCAGGTGTCAATTTCACCTGTCGATACCGTGGATGCTGATGACGTAACACAGGCAATTAATGTTTGTATCAAATAACGTCCCACTACCCCTTATTTTTCTAAGTTTTTGGTATTTTCATCACTAAAAACACATTTTAGGGCATGTCTCAAAATTTATTCTCTCGGTCTGCATTAGGTAGGTAGATGTTTCTTGAAGTGATATTTGTTATTTAAGTAACTGTAATACCTCTGAATTTTAAATATCAGTCAAAAAGCATTTTTCTAGCATTTCCGACAGTACTTTAGTTGGATCGGGTTGTCAGGCTAGCTGACTTAGTTGGCATCGTTACTTATAGCATAGATCGATGCGCCTTATTTATATCACTGGATTGTCTGGTCCAGAGTCGATTAATTACAGATTGCAGCTATTTAGCTTCAATACTGCCGAGTGCACCGTTCAACAAAACAAAACAAAACACGGTTGTTGTTTAACGGCACACTCCATTCATATGAGAGTGGTTTCTAAATAACCGAGAATGGACCAAACAATCCATTGATTTAAAATTAAAAAATACAACAACTCATTTTGCCGCCTCTTTGGACAAGCATAATGCCTCTGATGCTTGGTTGCTGAGGGCCAATTCTAGGACGGATCTCCAGGGGTTCTCAAACATTGTATACGGACTAACAATATTTATGTTTAAGCTAATGAATAACACTGCAGTATGTTACTAAACTCCATTTTAATCCATCCAATCCTGCTTTTAACACCGTTTTTTAACTCCACTTGATCAGACTTTGCTGTGATAAGAAGTTCAACTGCACCACTTGGGATCCTAATCTAACATCATATAACAGATACAAATATGAATTTGTCTGCAATTGCTGAATTCAATTTGCCGGAAGTGCGACCGTGATGTCCAGTGAATACATTTAGTTAAGAATTGAAGTCACATCAGCAAGTATTTCAACCATAACGCGAATAAAACCAGTTGTTCGCTCATAATACACAAAGTTAACTTATAAAAACCTGTCAGTGAAGACAGTGAGAAAAAAAACATCACTCATGTAGAAATAAATCTAGTATGTAAATCCAAAACCTTTAGTCTGATGTCAATTTGGAATTAACCAGACTGAAAAAGGTTGCCAACAAGACCTTGTTCTATCTACAATTTTTGCTGGAACTATAGCGATGGATCAAAGATTGGAGACAGAATGTCAAGAGCATATTTTCAGATAGCTTATCGTGTGCCTGCCGACACTCAGTAAGCGTGAAATTGGCTATCCGTTTATTGCAGAAATTATGAAATGACTTTTGAATCGGTGGCTTTCACTGACATCCTGTTTTGTTGGCTACCCAGTGACTTTGGAACTACGGGAAAGTTTCTGCAGCTAAATCAGCTCTTGCGTGAGTGAGGTATCAATAGGAATTAATTTTAATAATTTCGTCCAAACTTCTGTGAAAGGGATGATGTAAAATACAGCTAATCATACAAACATGTCAACGAAGGACAATGAAATAGCTAGACTATCACAGATAGAGAATTGAAATCTCGCAACTTCAAAAATAAACAAATGATACGGACAATACAATAGAAAAACGGACTGGAGATGGCCAGCAACTGAAGGTAGATGACCCAGCCTGGGACCACGGGGACTTTCTGTATTGACGGTAACTGGATTTAATATGAATGTTTTAACTTGTTTAGTCACGATATCGCCGACGTGACTGTAAATCATAACTCACTCACTCACTGTGGAAATTTGTAGCCTGTCGTGTATCGCCTGTCTGACTTCAGAAATCCACATGGGTGTCACAGGCCACCACACATGTGTACAGTCTGTCCAAGTTTTATAACCTGGTTAGTGCCGCTTCAACCTCGGCTTGTTTTCCACCGTAAGTCGGAGCGACGATAGTGCACGGGCTGCAGGAAATTCACGTAGTTGAAACTGACACGGCACACTGTGGGACAAAGCTGGAGGGCAGAAGGTTTGCTCTGTTCAACACGTTCTCTATGGATAACACAACCAGTCGGAGAAATGAAAAAAGTACACGCGCATGTTCCCCTTACTCTACCAGTAATAGGGAAGGTGGGTAGCCTAGTGGTTAACGCGTTCGCTCGTCACGCTGCCGACACGGGTTCGATTCCCTACTTGGAACCCCATTTCTGCACCTGTTCTTTCCCAGTTTGTTGATAAAGAACATAATCACATAGCTGTAACTTTTATACATTTATCAGATTGTAGGGGCAGGTTGTGCAGGCGTGGTAGGGGACAGGCGTTGTAGGGGGGACAGGCGTGGTAGGGGCAGGTTGTGCAGGCGTGGTAGGGGGACAGGCGTGGTAGGGGTAGGTTGTGCAGGCGTGGTAGGGGCAGGTTGTGTAGGCGTAGTAAGGGGACAGGCGTGGTAGGGGCAGGTTGTGTAGGCGTGGTAGGGGGGACAGGCGTGGTAGGGGCAGGTTGTGCAGGCGTGGTAGGGGACAGGCATGGTAGGGGGTACAGACGTGGGAGGGGACAGACGTGGTAGGGGGGACAGACGTGGGAGGGGACAGGCGTGGGAGGGAGGACAGGCGTGGTAGGGGGACAGGCGTTGGAAGGGGGACATGCGTGGTAGGAAAAAGGTTGTGCAGGCGTGGTAGGGCAGGTTGTGCAGGCGTGTTAGGGGTAGGTAGTGCAGGCGTGTAAGGGGGACAGGCGTTGGAGGGAGGAGAGGCGTTGTAGGGGACAGGCGTGTTAGTGGGGGGGGCAGGCGTGGTAGGGGCAGGTTGTGCAGGCCTGGTAGGAGGGACAGGCGTGGTAGGGGTAGGGTTGTGCAGGCGTGGTAGTGGGGACAGGCGTGGGAGGGAGGAGAGGCGTGGTAGGGGACAGGCGTGTTAGTGGGGGGACAAGCGTGGTAGGGGCAGGTTGTACAGGCCTGGTAGGAGGGACAGGCGTGGTAGGGGTAGGTTGTGCAGGCGTGGTAGTGGGGACAGGCGTGGGAGGGAGGAGAGGCGTGGTAGGGGGACAGGCGTGTTAGTGGTAGGGAGGACAGGCGTGGTAGGGGCAGGTTGTACAGTGACAGTGGCGGATCACATTCAGCCGGCCATACACTGCACTCGTCAAGGGCAACCTTGTGCACAGTGAAAGATATATTTACAAATTTACACACATGTTTTACAGTCACTAAACCAAATATGCAGGACAGCCAACACAAGTCTATGGTATAAAGTAGGTCTGAATTACTACAGTTCTGAATAGAAAATGTCTTGGCTCAAGATAATTAAACAACTGTTGGTTTTCAGTAAGATATATTTCATTCTGAGACTGCCTTCTCTTGTTGCCTCAAATAAATTTGGTAAAACATTAATTAAGTTAAATGCAAAGCCTAGAGTTTGTGATTTTGTAAACTGCCACATCTCATGACATCTTGTAATAGAGCTTCACAACACCCGAGGCTATGGGTTTATATAATAACTAAAAACAAAACCATATCTGACCAACAAATGGCTCGGGACAACTTAGATATTGTTTCCGTAAATGCTCGAAATATAAGAATAGATATTGTCTGAGAAATTCATGTGCGTATGTTCTTCCCGCTATATTCATACGTTCTTTAAATATGAAAAAGTTAAAGTGAGTGAGTTAGTTAAAGTTGAAAGTCACATCGGCATATTTCAGCAATATCACGACTAAAACTAGTTCCAAATTGACAATACATACACATGATATATACAACCCCGTCAACGAAGGGCAGTAAATTTTCCAGGTTATCACAAAATGAGTTAAAACTAGCTAGCGCATATCTTTTAAGGCAGAAAACTATTTCTGGACAATACAATGTACAAATGAGCTATAGATCGCCAACAACTGAAGGTAGATCACCATACCAGGGACCATGGGGACTTACAGTGCCTTTGCTATCTACATGGACCTTAGCTGGAGTTACACCATCCCTTCAGCGACTAGCGATTGTAGTCAAATCTAGCCATAATGTAAAATTACAAAAATACTACGTTGCAAAAATATGGTACCCCCACAGGACAATTATTTTACAATGCGTCAACCCCCTGTGAGGATACAGCCACCTACAATCTAAGTTGTTAATTTAAACTACACATAAGAAAATACTATACAAAACATATCAATCATAATTTATCAAGTAATTCTATTTCTTTTAAAATTCAATAATTACATGATAATTAACATTATAAAAATAGATCATTCAATGTTTTGACATTGAAATATATGTTTTGTCTTGTTTAGCGACAATATGGCTGGACTACTGCTGAGTCACACTACAGGTAATATACAAAGAAGGATTAGTTGATAATATTCTATGCAGGATCCTAGTATTTTATGCATGAATGCAAGGTTTTTGACTTTTAGTTAGGTTTTATATTATCGAGAAGACTAGTCACTATAGTTACAAGCCCATCAACAAATTGTATACCCAGTGATTGATGCATCACACAATGTTTGATGATAATTTAAGTATTTATGTTAGTTTGAAATATATGGATCATTAACAGTTTATCTGTTCAGTGCTTGAAATATCTTGTAAATGTGTAAATGTTTTCTGGCATAGAAATCTGTCTTTCCTGCAACTAAATGTAGAAGTAATTCTCTGCAGCTTGTTCATGTTGTTTTTTTCTTTTGTTTCATTGTCTCTGTAACCAAAGGTATTCAAATCAAATGCTCAGTTCCTGACTTTGTGATACCCTAGTTCCAGAGACTTTTTCTCCTCCAGGGTCGAAGGCAGATATATAATTGTAAATTGAAACCCATAATTTCAAAGCCACAGACGTCTTCGCACAGAGTCCAACATTTAAAATCTTACAGAGGCCGTCAACTGTTTGTCAGGGAAACTGAAGTGCACGTGCTGCACAAAATCCACCTGGTTTTTAAATTGACAAGACACAAAAGAGGACGGCAGAAGCATTGGTCCAAGTCTGTTCACTCAAGTAGTTTTACTAGATGGCAGCATGCTAGGGGAAAGAGAAAAACATTTGCCTGACCCCTACACTCTCCCAGTAATAGGAACTTTAGAAAGCACGTCTTCCACCTTACCCCAGCAACGCGCCTGTATACTCAGTTGTCTGTCCATGCTTTTAAATGACCAAATCTTATTTATAAGGATTTGCTCAATTCTTTTGAACTACTGAGATGAGGCGATACCAAACATTAAAAGTAGGGTCAAATATGTGTCAAACGTGTAATTTGTAAAAAATCCGAAATTCTTAAGTCTGCCCCCAAACCCAAACTTACGGCCGCAAATTAAAACACCAGCTGAAACCACAAACCATACAGAAGCCGGTGACATAAAAAAGATTGTAAGTATGGATGGACCAGACAATCCAATGATTGACATTACCATTGACGACCCAGTCCATATAGCGGGTTATCAAACTTGAAACTCCCACAATCTCAAAACTCATACACGCCTTAATTTGGTCATATCATATACAAGATACAGAATAAGAAAGAAGAAAATTATTCTCTTATTGTGTCACACATTGTAACAATGTACAAGTGAACAGTTAAAAGCGTGGTGAATAGAGGCATATTACAATGTCCGGCCACTTGGCCTATGAGACACACTGGTCGATAAAATAAGTATACATATAAACTATAAAGCAGCCCATTAACGGATTATTACCACTGCATAGTGCATGTAGAGTATTGACATTATCACTGTCAGGCGTGGCAAAGTACAGACTGTTAAACTGCGAGTGACAATGTCACGCCTATGTCATGCACCAGACAGGCTTCTCTTGTAGTGACAATGTCACGCCTATGTCATCCACCAGACAGGCTTCTCTTTTAGTGACAGGTCTAGAAAGTGTAGACAACTATATATGTTTATATATCATGATATATACTGCTTGTTATTGTTGTTTTTATTTGGGAGGTGGGGTAACCTAGTTTATTAAGCGTTCTCTCGCCAAAGACCCGTGTTGGATTTCCGACATGGGTACTATGTGGGAAGCGCATTTCTGGTGTCCCCGCCGTGATATTGCTGAAATATTGCTGAAACTAAACTTACTTGCTGTTCTTGATGTAAACATATATCCCACACACTTTAGTCAGCTCATGATGTACACTTGAAGTCACCTAATAACATCATAGGCGAAGTTGTTTTATGGGTCAGCTCATTGGCGTACTAACACCCAAATGACCACACACCAAAGTGTGTCACAATGACGCCAAAACATATATATCAACTACAACTCAAGCAAGTATATAACATTTGTCAAGTCTAGATTTTATTGCACTGAATCGACATATCTCGGCTCATTTTAATTATATATAATTGTGAGAATTTAACAACTGTTGTTTTCTGTAAGATACTTACATTACAGAGATGTTAGTGTCTAGACCAAATAGAGCGATAGGATATCGAATACCCAAGGAAAAGTATCAATACGTGATAGGTAAGACGCCTTATGAATAACAACTACTTTATATTTCGATAGAGATGCTAATACTGTTGTCAAGGAAAATAGCATGTCAAGCAAGACGGCACTGCTAATGTAATACACACTCCACGTGGTTTTGAAATCGACACGACACACAACAGGACCGCAGAAGCCATGGTCTAGATCTGTTCACCCAAGTATTATTACTATATGACAGCATGTCTGGAGCACATGTTGTACATATGTGATAGGGGACTGTAAATACATCATATAACATTAAGATAAAATAAACTTGTAAAGTTGGTTCATATATCAAACTCAGTTATTTGGATGAATGGTACATATTTCATCTTGCATATCCTTTCTGCAATATATCCGAGACGACAGCACAATTTATTAACTACTAAAGAGAAACATACTAACAATTACTTCATCTTTTGGGGCATTCAGAGCAAAATGTTGACACGGCAAAACCCTCGCGAGACACTTAAAATGTATGTCTATTTCCCATGTGCTCTGATCTGTCAATCATATGGCTAATTTACGGTATAGATACTTACAGAACTGCTTCCAAACATTTTCTGCATTATTTACGGTAATGATTAAGCCGGTTTTCCGTAGACTTTACGGTATAGATACTGGCAGCATGTTAAGGTCTCACAGTGTACGTACCACCTCGTTTGCCGGCAACACCACTTTTCCCTCACTCACTCACTCTTTTCCCCACAACGTGGTTGAAGGTTATTCCTGCCATAATTATCTCTGTATTTGTGGTGACATTGAACATGTTTTAGCATAGTCAGTGAAACATGATTTTGTTTGTTTTATTGTGTAAAACCGCACTTGGCAAGAAGCCAGTTCTATGGAGGGCTACACACGTTTTCGTACTGTGGCACTGAACTGTTTCGATATTTGAATCTCTGTGTCTTTCTGTCTTTGCCGGTCATCTATAGGCCGTTTCTTTATTGCATTGTCCTGCATTATGGTAAAATTTTAAAGTTACATGCTAGTTTTCAATATCTATATGTGATAATCTAGTCGTTTTACTGCCCTCTGTCGATTGTATCACGTAACTATATGTACGATCAATGTATGACTTGTGTTATTGACAATGTGGCTGAATTATCGCTGATGTGACTTACACTCGTACCTCACTAGGTCGTAAATATTGCCTGTAAGGAAATAAATCTTAACTAACTCACTCGGGGCATATTATAACTATCCAGAAGTCAAAAATAACACTCTTATCACTGGATAACTTGTAGTTTTTTTCAGCGATGCTACTGTGCGCAACTTGCCTCTGCAAATGAGGTAAAATTGTCTCATTTCAGGAGAGATGAAATATTCAAAATATTAGGCACACGATAATCACTTTTGGCATACATCTGAAGGAATCATCATTTTATACCTTGCCTAAACTTGAAAATAATACACTTACTACTTCATGCAGCGTCACTACTATTGCCAAGACTCTGTGCATGACTTGCCTCAAAATCATTTGAGTGTAGAAATTGTTTGGTTTCACGCTTGATGAAATGTGCAAAAAAATGAGAAAAGACAATTATCAGCTATGGCACACATCGGTAGAAACCATCATATTATAACGAGCCTGAAAATGAAAATAATACACTTATTACCTAACCTATTACACCTTTTTAAGCGATACTACTGCGTGACTTCCGTCGAAATCAGCTGAAATTGTCTCTTTTCATGCTTCATGAAATGTGCGAAATAATAAAAACACAGTTATCAATTTTGGTATACATTTCAAGAAAATATAATGTTATAACTAGCAGGAAGATGGAAATAATACACTTATTACCTAATAAATTATAGATTTTTAAGCGATACTACTATTGTCTAGGCGCTGTGTGCGACGTGCCTCAAAATCAGTTGAAATTGTTTCTATTCATGCTTCATGAAATATGCGAAATAATAAAGATACCGTAATCACTTTTGACATAGATCTCAAGAAACTAGCCTAAAGATGAAAATAATACACTTAATACTTCATAAGTTACATTTTCAGAAGAAAAGATTATGTTGGATACACAAAACCAATTCTTGGTAATTCTATTAACAAGCCATGTTACCAAAATTATATATTACATTGTCTAATGCAAAGCATGAGGCCACAGCACCATTTTCACTGATCAATGAATATATGGAGAGTTATAAGCTGAAACAGGAATGTTGTCACTCACTCACTCACTCCCCAACACCGGCAACCGCACCTGGGTACAGTCTGTCCAAGTTTTATAACCCGGCTGAGGCCGCTACACCATCAGCTTGTCATCCGCCCGAAGTCGGAGCGACGGCAGTGCACGTGCTGCACGTGGTTGAAAGTGACACCGCTCAACAGGACGGCAGAAATTGAGCCGTTGACACCCACGAAGTTTGTACATCATACAATCTGCCACTGAAACAAATAATATACTCATCATGCATATCCCCGTTTACTCTGCCAGGTATCCTGTTGATCATGTTTTAGTAAGGTGAAAAAGTAAATTCAAGCCTGTAAAACCACCAGTTTACAGAATTTGACATCTTACATACAAATTTCAGAGCTATGACAACTGCCCAAAATAGGAGAAGAATAACAAATTACTGATGGGCAAGACAATCCAGTGATTGATACTACGAGTAAGGAACCACGGTAAAAGCAGGCTATCAACTTTGTTATTGTACCTGACCACCCACCCATTAAGCTGCCTCTGATCATTTCTTGACCAGTTTTGTTGATGTAGAACATAATCCTATAGTTATGTTAAGTTGGTTCCTTTTGGGGGGTTTTATCTGTAGTTACCAACATCCCATCTGTGCAAAGGCCGTCTGTAAATATCTTAATTAATCTGGATCACACATTCCAGTGCATCCTCGATAACTCCAGGGTATATGTTCCGATAACCCTCCACTATATATCGGAACGTATACCCTGGAGTTATCGAGGATGATTCCAGTGATTCACCACATGATACCAAGTCATTCACACGCGTCACATGACCACCAGGTCGATTACGTTGCCTCTCAGACAAGCCCATGTTCTTACCCGGAACCCAGCCGGTCACAGACGTGTCAACAGTAACCGACAGCGGCTAGTAACTATTATATGGCTGGAATAATGCCGATATGACGTAAAGCCCAACTCAACTAATAGCTATTCATGTAGTTCACACACATCAGTAATATGACAGTTTCTAGATACTTTTGGTAAACAAAGATTGTTGCACGGGTTTTCCATGCTCGATGAAGGGTTGGTATGACAATGACACTTTCGACCACATTGAGCTTTGCCTGACTGCTTTTACATGCCGCGTGCAGGTGTGGCAAAGAACAGGTTGTAAGTGACAGAACCATTGTAGATCTAAATAATGCTTGTACCGAGTGAGTGAACTTAAATATGACGTCACGCTGGCATTATTTCACCTAATCGTGATTGTGAAAGTTGTAAATAAATAAAACAAACTTAGACAACAAAGATGTATCCAGACATGACATGTCCACTACAATAAATGTACAATGTAGTTCTATCCTTGGAAAGTAATTCAAGAAGTGAAAACTGTAGACAGCATGAATACACATGTCTGCCACCCATGAAGATCGGGGTTACATGGTGTTTTTCAGCAATCCCGACTAACGGGATCGGGTGGTCTGGCTCGCTGACTTAATGCATAAGGCTCATGCTTATGATAACGGGCCTGTATGGTCTAGATTCCACTATTTATCGCTGGTATATTGCCGAGTGCTGCTTTAAACAACAAACAAACACTTTATGATCTTTGTATTTTATACAATTTCACGTTGGAGGACAACATAAATTCAGCGGATTAATGTTTTGCAGTTTTTTTATGGGCCTGCTTTTTGGGTAACAAATAGACAATACACTAATAATTTGTCATACATACCCTGAAACGGATATATAATGGACAGCCATTGGAAGTCTAGATTACTTAAGAAAAGGAAGCACTCTGGGCTCCCTGTCTATATAACCCTAATACAATTTAACAGCTGCTGGTTTTCAGTGAGATAAAGTCAACTCTGAGACATGTTTGTCTTTAGCAAGGGGTAACATGAACACATACATATATTACTGAGTTATATACTCCTGCCATGTTAATGTAACTCAACGGGGTTTGATAATCTGTTTTCTCGCCTCCTTCACCATGTAGGTTATGAATAGGTATAATGCCACTAAACCTGAACCAGTTATTAATGTCAAAGGTATTAGAGACCCTTCTATAAACTGGAACGAGACAGACAGATAAAGAGCACTTTAGCTTCACTGAAAAGAACAGATTGTGTAGCAATAGAGTGAGTGAGTATGCTTTTACGCCGCATTTTTAGCAATATTCCAACAATATCACGGCGGGGGACGCCAGAAATGGGCTTCACACATTCTATCCATGTTAGGAATCTAACCCGGGTTTTCAGCGTGACGAGCGAACACTTTAACCACCAGACTACCCCCACCACCCCGTGTAGCAGTAGAGGATACTTTAACCATTCTTAAAGAATCGTTTCCAATTTAGAGATTATTAACAAATCAACACTAAAATAACATTCTGATGAAGGTAGAGGTGAATATTTCAGTCAAACACTGTCTCAAGTCAATGAGTCCCTAGTATGGTGATCTACTTTCAGTTGTTGGCGATCTATAGCCTGTTTTTAGCTTGAATTGTCCTAATAGTGCTAGTAGTTTTAACTTTCCACACTAGCTTTAATTCTTGTGATATTCTAGCTGTTTAACTGTCCTTTGATGACAGCTGTTAATAATATACACATATTCCATTTCAATGTCAAATATGTTCTCGTGATGATATGGCTGAAATATTGCCGATGTGACGTTAAATATTAACTCACTCACTTACTCATGTCAATGATCATGATAAAATGTATTAAGTGAGGATATAACTGAGATCTAGTTGACGTTAACTTGGGTAACATGGAGAGTGATAGATTATCAGGGAGTGGTGGTTTGCCATGTGAATTCTATACACTGTTCTGGGAACGAACTAAATAACATTATATATCAGCACTAACCTACCTTGAGGAGAATGATTTGTTTACAGCTCCCAGAGGGGAAGTACTGTAGCTGTACTGCCACCAAGGGTACGGACCATAGTGTGTAAATAATTACACACTTATCACTTGATTCAATTTTGATTACACATGTTTCAATTTTGATTACACATGTTTGGTTACAAATCACCTTAGGCTTGTAATTTATTGTCTGACGGATCAGACACGGACGTGTTTTCTTTAAAACATAGTCATTCATGAAGATATAAGATTTAGTGGTTATAATTGAAATTTGTGACGGAAAAAACATGTCTTGTTCGACTCGGCGGTTTATCTATGTTGCTTTCAGTCAGTTTGGATTTCCATTTAACTTATACGTGTTCATGTATAAACGACAAGCAAAGGAACAGATCATTATCATATCTGCAAAGAAGTTAAGTCCAGAAAGATCTTTATTACATGCTGCAATAATACAAATTACGTTTCGTAGCTTAGGCAAAATGGAAAGTGTAATTATAAATTATAATAATAAAGGAATCAAAGGTATATATTTTTCTCTTGATTCTGCACCAGTTCCCAAAACAGAAAATCAGCTTTTAACACAACTACATACTACAAAAATCAACCCAAATACACAGGCCTGAAAGTATTCATGTTACTAAATCTGTTATCTTGAGTTTAATGTAACAAGGGAACGATACAGATGTTTAGGGTGTTAAACAAACATGACATGGTAACTTTCAGAACTACAAATATTTCGATACAGTGTAGAACAAACGTGATATTGCTGTGTGGAACTGAAACATTAACCCAGAAGGGAACATTTTATAGGAAAGGTTAGATAACTAAAAAATCAGAAATTAAACTATTGACGGTTATACCTATCATGTTGTAACTGAGTGAGTTTAGTTTTACGCCGCATTTATCAACATTCCAGCAATATCACAGCAAGGAACACCAGC